AGGGTAAGCTGGATAAAGTGAGAGAGTGGCATGGACATATATACATACCAAAAGTAAAATAGATAGCTAGTGGGAAGCTGCTGCATAGCACAGGGAGATCAGCTTCGTGCTTTGTGACCAGCTAGAGGGGTGGGATAGGGAGGGTGGGAGGGAGACACAGAGGGAGGGGATATTGGGATGTATGTATATGTATAGCTGATTCACTTTGTTATACAGAAGAAACCAACACAACATTGTAAAGCAATTAAACTCCAATAAAGATGTTTTAAAAGTATAATTTCCAAAAATTAGAAATATGACTTTCATAAAGATATAAAGTGAACGTGTAGAAATTTTATTTAGCCTATCAACGAGGAAAACAGTTAGGTGGTAAAATGATTCTCTGGGTATTTGTGGAACTGGGTATTTATAGGCTTAAAACAAAAACAGTGTTAGATTAAGATTGCTAGGCTACAGGTAAACCTGGATAGTGTCCTACAGGGCTATAAAACTAATCATTGAGGTTTTCTCACCATTCCGAAATCTGCAAGCTAACATGTCATCTCACAGTATCTGGTTTCTAATCTCATAGTAAATAGCAAAGTCTCAAACACAAGGAAGTTCTCCCAGAGAATTCAGGAATCCTTGGGAGGATTTGTGCAACAACATGCAGTATGACCTGCAGAGATATGCCGCCACCTCCTCACCCACCCACTCTCCACTTCTGCCCAACTGCCTTAGCTCCAAGTTTTGGATATGTTTTATTAACATTGAAAAAAATACTTTGGCGTTAAAGAAATCTGAGGGTGAATCTCACTTCCTTCACTTGCCAGCTGTGTAATATTGGGCAGGTAGTTACCTGCGGCTGGATTTGCTTGCTGCAAATTGGGAGGAGCTTTTGTAAAGTGCCTGGCACATGAGTTAAATCTTAGTTCTTCTCTTTACCTTTCCTTTTTCTTAAGTGAAAAAAGTTCACCCTTTGTCTGGCCTTCAGAGACAAAGTTTTCTTCCCCTTGTTAAGTGGAATATTTATAAATGGAATGGAATATTTATAAATGGAGTATTTCCTGCCTTATCAATAAACAAAGGATGTGAGGGTCATCAACGATTGCAGCCCTCCAACGTGAGCGGGTGAGCCCTGAGGAAACTCAGGGCTGAAAAGAATACCTGCCATCTAGCAGCCATCAGAATGAAGCCACTCCCTGTGGTGAGCCCTGAGGAAACTCAGGATGTGAAAATACAGGATACTGGCCACAGATATCTGAGGTGCATATCAAAGGAATGATTTCAGCGAGCATATCAAAGGAATGATTTCAGCGAGCCCAGACTCTTGCATCTTCCCATACATACAAAAGCGCTAAATTCTTTAACTTGAGATATCTGGTTTTCTTTAATTAACAATAATCTTTTGCCATTCCAGACTACCTGCCCTTTGTTGCAAAGCTCCTATATATTATGGCTCCTCCCCTCGCCTCCTTGGAGCAGTTTCTCAGTTACCTGAAATGCTGTCTCCTGGGCTGCAGTCCTCATTTTGCCCCAAATCAAACTTAACTCGCCACTCTTACGTTGTGCATTTTTTAAAATCAATACCCTCCCTCCTTTCCTCTCTTCCTCCCTTCCTCCCTCCCTCCCTCCCTCTCTCCCTTCCTTCCTCTCTCTCACTCTCTCTCTTTGTCATCTCTAGTTTATTAGAATAATATCCTAGAACTCTGGTGAATTTTTTCCATTACTAAGAGAGGCATTCTCTTAAATTTTTATTATTCATCTAAGTGGAAAAAAAATAGATTTTAACATTCTTTTTTAATTAAAAATTTCCACCAGCTTTATTGAGATGTAGTTAACCTATAACATTGTGTGAGTTTCAGGTGTATAACTTGACGATTTGATATATGCATATATTGTGAAATGATTACCGTAAGGTTAGTTAACACATCCATCACCTCACATAGTTATAATTTTTTTTGTGTGATGTGAACTTTGAAGATCTACTCTCTTAACTACTTTCAAATATGTAATGTAGTACTGTTAACTCTGGTTACCACGTTGTACAGAATGCTTTATTTAGAGAACCCTCTGCATATGACAAAATGGAGAGATGTTCCTCAAGTGAAGATGATTTCTTACAGGATATAACTTAGTGTTTCTTGTTTTGAGGTGGGGATGGGGGTATTACTTGTTTAAGCGTAAATATTATCCTTGTCTCCTTTTAAAAGGAGAACTGGCTTTCCGAGTTATCCTTTCTGAAGCCCACTCAGTATCTCAGTGTCTGCTGTGAGCCCTGCTCTGGGTTGAGGTTTGTGAGGAAGGGGTTGGATGCACAGAAGCTCTGAGGAGCATGCTCTCTGCATTCCCCCTTCCTGGTACAGGTCAGCGCAGGTGGGGTTAACGGATGGCAGAGGGACCATGAGCTGGTGTCTGGCACAGGTAACAGGTCATCACTACCAGATCTGTATTCCTGGAGAGTATTTGTCTCTCCCCTTCTTCACAACCCCTCACATGATAAACCTGTGTGCTGGCATGTGGGACACCGAGCTGTGATTCAAAATGACAAAGTCTTCTGATATTGTTCCAATCACTAATTTCTGGAGAGTGAGGAGTAAGAGAGAATTGCCCTTGACTGTGCCTCCCTCTCAGAGTATGGTATTAATGTAGATCAATAGGTCAGGGATCCCACATTCTAAACTCACTTCTGCCACTACTTATAAGGTTGTTTCTTCTTTTTCGTATTTACACATTTTTTTTCCTTTCCTGCCTAAATGCAGAATCAGTGTGTTGTATACATTGTTCAATATTAATGGTCACACGAGGGAAAAGCTCTGTAACCTTCTTTTCTCATTTCTGTGTCCTATCTGTAAATGAGGTGATGTGATCAGTGCCTTGATGGTCCAAGCTCAGTTCATTCATTCATTAGGCAACATGTAGCTGTTGAGCAACAGCTCTGTGCCAAGCCCTGGCGGTTTCTCTGTAAACATGATAAATGAGAACCTGCCCCAATGGAGATAGATTGTGACCAAGGAAACAAATAAGATGATTAGAGACTATGATAAGTATTATGAATGAAAGAAATCAGATGATGGGAAACTATAAGTAAGCTGCTATTCTTAGTAATTTTAATTAGGGTTATCAGAGGTGGTCTCTTTGAGGAGGTGGCTTTCTGAACTGCAAACGGAAGGATGAGAATGAGTCAGTCATAGGAAGAGTTGAGTGAAGAACATTCTAGGAAAGAGACAATGCAGAGAGGTGTGGGATGAATTTGGCTTGTGCACGGACTAGAACGACAGACCTTTGGCTGAAGTGGAGTGAGTCTGGTGGGTGGAGAGGTGGACAGAGGCTGGCAGGGTCATTTAGGGCTTTGTAGATTCTGGGAAGGAATTTGGGTTTATTCTAAGTGCAATGGAAAGCTTTTAAAGAGGTCTAAAGCAGTGGAATGGTATGAGCTTATTAAAAGAAGGGAAAGGAAAGAATAACTGCGGCTGTTGTGTGAAGAACTGAATGGCAGATGTCAGGCTTGGGAGTAGGGAGACCAGTGAGGTCCTGGTGCTTGGCTGTGGAGAAGGTAGTAGGGATGTGAGAGAAGGAGGCCTTGAAGGTTTGACTAGGTTATGGTGGGTCCCAAATACCTGGATGAGGAGCTTGGATTTGATTTTTGCAGCTGTGAGGGAGCTTCGTGTGTGAGTGTGAGTTTGCGAGTGAGTGAGTGTATGTGTTTGTGTATGACTGTGAGTTTAGGGGTGAGACTGTGAGTGTATGAGCCAGTGTGTATGAGTGTGGGGTGCATGTGTGGATTTGTGAGCAGATGTGAGTGTGTGTGTTATGTGTGTATGTGTGTGTGTTTGGGTTTTTCTCCTGTTGCAGATTTTGAACAGGCCAGTGGCATGAAGGAAAGGGCTGCCCTGTATGCTACAGATAAAGGCTGGTGGCAGGGAGACTTGCTGGGCAGGTAGTGGAGTTAGACGTGACACGAAGGCCCAGTCGTGCTAACGTGGCCAGCCATGGAGAAGGAGACGACTGAATCGGGCAGGTCCTGTTCTTTGTTTTATTCTGCTTCTGGGTTGGATGAGACTGAGGAGTGAAGACCCCACTGAAGGAGTCACATTCTCTTCAGATTTGCCGAGTCTGATTGCTGGCTGAGTAGCTTACTCGTCTTATTAGTGACAAAACCAACCCTAAATTAAACCTCACTTAAATTCATGTGTTGGTTTCTCTGAAAAGAATTCCATTAGTAAGAGTTAAGTGGAATGGTTCGACTGCAGGCCACCCAAACTGTCCCCACTGCCTTGAGAGGTGCACGCACGCACACACACACGCACGCAGGGAGTACACACACACACGGGGAGTACACACACACACACACACATATGGGGAGTACACACACATGGGGAGTACACACACACACACGGGGAGTACACACACTCACACACGGGGAGTACACACACACAGGGAGCACACACACATGCACACACACATTGGGAGTACACACACACTGTGAGTATACACACACGGTGTGTACACACACACGGAGTACACACACACACGGGGAGTACACACACATACATACACACATTGGGAGTACACACACACTGTGAGTATACACACACGGTGTGTACACACACACGGAGTACACACACACACGGGGAGTACACACACATACATACACACATTGGGAGTACACACACACTGTGAGTATACACACACGGTGTGTACACACACACGGAGTACACACACACACGGGGAGTACACACACACATAGGGAGTACACACAGGGAGTACACACACACATGGGGAGTACACACACACACGGGGAGTACACAATATGGGGAGTACACACACACACGGGGAGTACACACACACACGGTAGTACACAACATGGGGAGTACACACACACACACGGGGAGTACACACACACACGGGGAGTACACACACATACATACACACACACGGGGAGTACACACACACACTCTCTTTTATATTTAAATTTCTTGATTCTTGAGATACTCATTGTGTTTTTTGTTCCCTCCCAGGATATCTTTGAAGATGCCTTGGAAACCCTCTCTGTGTAAGTAATAACATAATACAAAAATATGTAGTAGAGAAAAATTGATGGTTTTCTTATAAGAAATGTAAATATTTCATTCTCATTTTTTTGAATTTTTTGAGTGTAGTGGCTATTGTTGGAAAAATTCACTTCTCCGTAATTTAACAGTTAGGATGTGATTAAGCTTAAGAAAGGATCTGTCTAAAGTTACCATCAAATATATTTTTGAGTCTTATTTCTTGTAACCTTAATTAAACTAAAATGAAAGAAAAAATGTTTTCCAACAAATTAAATTTTATTTGTTTATAGCTAACCCTTTTACATCTTGCCCATATTTATTTACATGGTTAGCCTCATATTGTAGATTTTTGCTTTTGGTTTGCACTTAGTTTTATTATAAGCATTTCCTATAAGCCTACATAATTTTTGTAATGATTTTAAATGACATCATATTAGATCAAATGGAACATCGCAATTTAATTATTCATTTCTCCTTTGTTAGACATTCAGTTTTTCACTGGTTTAAAAACTTAAAACTAAGTAGTGAACATTTTAATGTGTATAGCTTTATCATATTTTTGAATATCTCCAAAAGGTTAACTTCACCCATGTAGAATTATTGGATTAAAAGGGATGAATATTTTTATTCTTAATGTGATATTTCTCAAGTTGCCTTTCTGTGTTAGTTAGCTCAGGCTGCCATAATAAAATACCATAGACTGGGTGGCTTAAACAACAGAGATTTATTTTCTCACAGTTCTGGAGTCAGAGAGGGTGCCAGTGTGGTCAGGTTCTGGTGAGAGTTCTCTTCCTGATTTACAGATGGTCACCTTCTCATTGTGTCTTCACATGGCAGAGGGAGAGAGAGCGAGAGAGCAAGCTTTCTGGGGTCTCCTCCTATAAAGGCATTAGTCATGAGGGCCCCCCTCTCAGGACCTGATCTAAACCTGATTATCTCCCAAAGTCCTCATCTCCAAATACCATCACACTGGGGATCAGGGTTTCAACATGTGAAATTTGGGGGGGCGCTATTCAGTCCACAGCACTTTCAGAAGAGTTTCACCAGTTTGCACGGCTGTGAACTGCGTATAAGTGAAGTGGTTTAAAATGTAGCATTATCATCCCTAGGTATTATTTGAAACCATTTTGCTGCTTAAATGATACCTAATTGTTTTGTCTTAAAATTTTTTTCTGGGAGTTCCCTAGTGGCCTAGTGGTTAGGATTCTAGGCTTTCATTGACATGGCCTGGGTTCAATCCCTGGTCAGAGAACTGAGATCCTGCAAGCCATGTGGTGCACACAACCCACCAATTTTTTTTCTTATAATCATTGTTTAGTCCACTGCATTTCCTTTTGTATGAATTCTAGTCTTCTTTTGCCTATTTAACTTTTTTCTCAATGTTTCTTTTACATACTTATGAACTTTAAAATATATATACACCTTCATATTTTGTCCTATTTGCTACAGATACTTTCCCTTAATTGCTATTTTTATGTTAGAGTTGCAAATTTTTATATTGTCCAAAAGTTTTAGTGTTTATGTCATTGAATGTGTATAAAAAACTTAATTGTGATTAGGATTTTAAAAAATAACCTTTCTACTGTGCAATAGTTTCAGATTTACAGAATTATTATGAAGGTAGTATGGAGAGTCCTGTATATCCCACACTTGTTTTCCCTATGATTAATTTCTTACATTAGAATGATACATTTGTCACAATTAATAATCTAATACAGATACATTGTTATAACTAAAGTCCATACTTGATTCAGATTTCTTTAGTTTTTATGGAGTATCCTTTTTCTGTCCCAGGATCCCATTCAGGACACCACAGTACCATCATTTGTCCTGTCTCCTTAGGCTATGCTTGATTGTGACAGTTTCTCAGAGTTTCCTTGGTTTTGAGTACTGGTCATTTGTTTTGTGGAATGTCCCTCAGCTGGGATTTGTCTGTTTTTTTTTCCTCATGATTAGACTGAGGTCATGTGTTTTTGGGAGGGAGATCACAGACCTAAAGTATCATTCTCATCACACTATATCAAAGATACATGTTATCAACCTGGTTTACTCCTGTTGATGCTAAACTTCATCCCTTGGCTTGAGATAGTGTTTGTCAGATCTTGCCACTGTAAAGTTTTACTCTTTTCCTCCCCTTCCCTTTTCACACTGTACTCTTTGAAAGATAATCTACTTGTGTAATTTAAAAAATGACTTTTAAGGTGAGTGCATTATTTGCCATCCAGAAATCTTACTCAGCTCTGCTGTGGCTTCTCTGCTCTGAGCATTGGCAGGAATTGAGCTTGGGCGGCCTGGTAGACTGAAATCTAGGAGGTAGAAAAGGATCTGACTGTGGGGCGGGTGACTGGAATTCACCAGTGGAAGCGCTGCTGTTCCCAGTAAGAAGCTAGAACACTCGACACACACCAGAGAGGGGTTCAGGTCTTGGAGATGAAGACAGGTCAGACTGATGTAATTGACGTGACCGATGGGTGGCACACATTAAAACTTGTGTTTCTTTGAGCTTTCAGTGGCTGCATTAGACTGGCAGTGGCTTTACCTTTGGGTCTGAAAGGCGTTGTCAGCAATTTCTAACACCTATTAGTTTTTATTTTATTTATTGATTTTACAGCAGGTTCTTATTATCTATTTTATACATATTAGTGTATATGTGTCAATCCCAATCGACACCTATTAG